AGCCTTTAGGGTTTAGGGTTGTTTAGGGTTGTTTGGGGTTTAGGGTTTAGGGTTCAGGGTTTAGGGTTTAGGGTTATTTTATGCTGGTAAGGCTCGCCTAACGCTCGAGAAGTGGGAAGCAAGATAAAGATAACCGACTACCCCGCGCGAAGCCAGGTCTGGGGTAGGCTCAGAAGGATTCGTGCTTGGCCGCACCATCTTTTCTTAGGTCGGGGTTGAGATCTCAAAGACATGACATGCAAATCTTTAACCCTACACCCTAATCCCTAAACCTTCTTTTTCCAAACTCTAGGCCTTGAGCCCTCGGCAAAAGCAAGCACTCCTGGGGCACGTAAGCACAAGACGTTGTAGTAGTTACACTACTCCTCAGAAACAGTTTAATGGTATAATATTGAAGACTGATACACCCACCTAGTCTTTGCAGTTTTAAATCACAGCGAGTAAGCTTTCGGCGCGATGAGCAGGCACAGGAACATGCCCCATTTGTAGAACCTGACAAAGGGCGCATATGACTCAGAAGTTCATTGGCCAGAGGGGTTGAGAGTCTTGGGGCTCTGGGGCCAAGGCACGCACCCCCGCAGTGACTCCCACCATCACTCTGGAAGATAACATCCCACTAGCTTATGGTAACCCTGTTGTCGTCTCGATACTGCGATCATTGCCTGCTGGACGCGTATCATCAACGCCACGGTGACCATCACAATCATAATCACCATCATCTTATACGTGAACATCAGGGAGGTTATCACAATGAACACGGCGGCTGCTGGCTGCCTGTACTGCTCACACTGGTGCCGAGTGAAACATAAGCGCATCATCCAAGAACCAAAACCGCAGCAGTCGATCCGTGAGTCAACCTATGCAGCGACCAGTGGTGAATGTCAGTCTGCCAACCTCATGCAGGGGAATGGTCGATGGGACAGAACTCTTCCATCTGTTATCCTACGGTGACGGGCTACCATCTCTGGCCACCACCGGCGCCGACCACACTAGTACTATTATTTGTGCTGATGTTAAAGGCCCCCCTCTGCTGCTGCTGGTGCAGCTACTACTACCACGACTACTACTTCTTCTACGCTGCTACTACTACGTTGCTGCTGCTGCTACTACTACTACTAAGAAGAAGAAGAAGAGCAATAATTATCAGAAGAAGAACGATATTGATAATACCTATAATAGTGGCAAGTAAAAAGAGTAAACGTAAAAGTGATAGTAATAGCGATAGTATCAACAATGCTACAGCTACAACGACTTGCAGTACTACTTCCTCTACTGATCCTGCTACCACTGCGAGTGTTACTGCTAGTGCGACAAGGAGGAAGACGACGACCAAGACGACTACTACAACCGCTGCTGCGACTAGTGACATGGGGGTTTCCGAAAATAGGGGACCCTAATATAGTACCCTAAAGAATAGGATCCTTATTATAAGGACCCCAAAATAAGGTACCCCTAATTTTCGGAAACTCCCACATCGGCTCTGAGCCGGTGCTTGAGGCAGCGACTTGATGATGTCGCAGGCCATCTCGCTGCTATCGAATTGATGTGCACGTGCTCATACAACTCTGGCCTACTGCTCAAAGTGAAGGGCGTGGTAGGACCAAGCCTCACGACTCACAACTACCGCTCCCTGCTGACCTAATGTAACCGCCATCAGCTGACAGCATCGGCTTGCACCTGAAGTTTGCTCCGCACCTCAAACGTCATGCGAAGTTGCCCATGAACCTCATGTTCATGGCCTAAGCTACGGGGGCGGTTCAAGGCTGAAGCCAGCCGCAGACCATTTCAGGAAGATCTCGATTAGCAAGCTCGGGATGTACTTTAGGGGCCTTAACAAGTAGAATAGGGTTTCGGGGTTTTTTATACTATACTTATGCCAAGGAACCCCAGCATACGGTTGATGATGTAAACCCTGCATTACCCATAATAAGGAATATACCATATCTCCCATAGTTTAGGGTCGTTAAGGCAATGCAGGGTTTATATCATGAACAGTAGTATCGGTAATTCTTAAAGCCGCTATAGTAGGCCGTGGGGAGGCTTCAGGATGAAAGTTCAGGGAGTTTCGAAGCTTAGGGGTTTAGGGTGGAACATTAAGGGAAGTGGTTCCGGGGTTAGGGTTTTCGGGTTTATGGCTTGCTTTCGGGGCTTTGGGCTGTTAGCTTTCTGGCCTTCCGC